CGTGGCCCGCGGGACTGCTTCGAGCTGTGCCCCGGCTCCAGGTGACTTCCTTGGAGCAGTGATGCTCAACACCCTCGGCCCCTTCTCTTTCTTTTTAAATGTTTGTTTATGGGCTGATTCGAGAGAAGCAGCGGCCTGTGCCACCTACTCACGCGCGACCCGGCTGCTTTACGGTACGCGCTCCTGACCGATCCAGCCCGCCCCTTGGTGCGTGGACAGGAGGCTCCCCCCTGAGCCGCCGCCAGGGCTCACTGGTGGGTCCTGTGTGCGCCCAGCTTCTCCCCCGTTTTCTAATCAGGTTTTGGCTGTTAACCAATCCTAGGGGTTCTCTGCGTTCCTGGGTGTTAATCCCTATCAGACAGGTGACCTGAAAACACTTTCCCCCCTTAGTGCCTTTTCAAAAATCCTCACCTGAGGACGGATGTTCTTACTGACTTTAGAGCGAGGAACGTGGATGTGAGAGGAACGTTGATCAGCTGCCTCCCATAATCGCCCGCCCCACCGAGGATGGGATGGGAGCCTGGGCCTGGGCCTGGCCGGGATGAACCCGCACCTCTTGGTGTGCAGGACACGCTCCAACCAGCTGAGCTGCATGGTCAGGGCCTGTTTTAAAAATGGAGCTGAGAGCCCTGGCCAATTTGGCTCAGTGGATAGAGCGTCGGCCTGTGGACTGAAGGGTCCCGGGTTCGATTCCGGTCAAGGGCCTGTACCTTGGTTGCGGGCACATCCCCGGTGGGAGGTGTGCAGGAGGCGGCTGATCAATGTTTCTCTCTCATTGATGTTTCTGACTCTCTATCCCTCTTCCTTCCTCTCTGTAAAAAATCAATAAAATATATTTTTTTTAAAAAATGGAGCTGAGAGAGAGAGAGAGAGAGAGAAAAACATGGGTTTGATGTTCCTCCCACGTGTGCACTCACTGGGTGACTCTTGCATGCGGCCCGACCATGGGTCAGACCCACAACCGTGGCCCGTCGGGGTGATGCTCCAGCCGTCGAGCACCCGGCAGGGCCGAGAACGTGGGTTCACATGGGGTCGCCTGCTTCCCCCGTCAGTCTGTCAGCTCAGGTTGTGCGAGAGCCTCCCGCTGTTGGGCTGGAACTTGTTTCCAGCGCTTTCCGCTGTGCTTCGCCCGCGCTGTCTCTCCGTGTGTCTGTCTCGCCTGTGAGCTGCTTGTTTTCTCTGCACCTTTCACTGCCCTGCCCACCTCGTCCCCTGGCCCTGCTGTGAGGCGCGGCCCTGCTCCGCTCTGGGCATTTCTGCGTCGCTTCAGTGTCTCTCGGACACACCCGAGTTTCCTTCTCTCCGAGCGACGAGGCCCACTCAGGTCTTGTGCTGTGCACGGGGTTTGCCGCTCCCGCCCGTTTCCTCCCCGTCCATGTCCCTGTCCCTCCCAGCACCCCCTCTCCTGGTGGGCTTGTCTTTACCAGTATTTTTAAGTTATGCCAAAGCCCCACCCCCACCAGGATGGGCTCTTTTAATGCACTTTTAACCCCCAGCTCTGAGGGCTTATGTTTTTTAAAAGTAGTTAGAAATCTTAACAGTTACATTATTTTTAAAACATATCTTGCTTTTTTCCCCAAAATATTTTTTGGAAACCAAATCACACACACACACACACACACAAATCTCAGAGGGAAGGCGGGGAGCGGGGGTGGGAGGGGCAGAGATTAACCAAAAACCTCGTGTGGAGT